TAAGTAAAAAAAAAGAAAATTGAAGAAAAAAGAAAAGAGATATTTAAGGAAAAGAGGAAGGAAAAGAAATGAGAAGGGAGGGAAGAAGAAGGGAGGGGGGGGAGGAAAGGAGAGAAGAGGAAAGGAAAGGAAAGGAGAGAAGAGGAAAGGAAAGGAGAGAAGAGGAAAGGAGAGGAAAGGAGAGGAAAGGAGAGGAAAGGAGAGGAAAGGAGAGGAAAGGAGAGGAAAGGAAAGGAAAGGAAAGGAAAGGAAAGGAAAGGAAGAAGGAAAGGAAGAAGGAAAGGAAGAAGGAAAGGAAGAAGGAAAGGAAGAAGGAAAGGAAAGATTAAGGGGAGAAAAAAAGAAAATTTAGGGAAAAAAAATAAGAAAGAAAATACAGAACATTTAGGAAAGAAAGGAAGGAAAATTAAGAAGAGTGAAAAGGAAGTTTGAGAAGTTTGAGAAAATTAGGAAGGAAAATCAGGAGAAAATTAGGAAATTTGAGGAAAATGGAAAGGAAATTTGAGGGAAATTTTTTTAGAAAAAGTGAAAATTGAGAAAAGAGAGGGGAAAAAAAAAAAAAGGATGAAGACACCAAAACTGACATTTCTGAGCTGTGGCTGTGAGTGGAAGAAATCCCTCAGAATCCCCATAGGAAGAGATTTCCAAATGTTCTGCCTCTGTTTTTCCCCTTTTTCCGTTGTTTTCACACAGAGCTGTGAGACCCGGGAGCCCATATGAGTCATTTTAGGGCAAAACTCCTCATTTTATGGGAAACAAATCAGCAGCAGACCAATAAAATGGGATTTTTTTCCCCCATAAAAACGGGTTTGTAGATGTGAGCACGCGGCCGTGCACCACACCTGCGCACAACACGTGTGCAAGAAAACACAGAATTCCCCAAAAAACTCAAATTCTCCCCCAGTTCGTTGCCCCCCCGATGAATTTGTGCAGAAATTCCCTCCTCCCACCCTTTCCTTTCCTTAATTGTTTTATTTCCTTCGTTTTTTAGCCCATTTTTCGCACCATTTCGTTTTTCTCCCCGCAGCCACCCTCCAGACCTTCCAATTTTGGGGCAGCTTAAGCAAGAAAAATACTCTTTAATTTTATTTATTTTTTTCTTTTTTTTTTTTAGCAAATCAGGCTCAGATTCTTGTTATTATCACATATCGTTATGCACATATATATTTTTTTCGGTACAATTACATCAATCTGCAGCCTCTCATCCAAAACCCTCGTGTCATTCCCAGCTTTCACCTCTCCTCACGCCAAGCATGATGTCAAAACCCCGGGTGGGGCGATCCTTGGGGGGGGGGTCGTCTGCTTTTATATTTTGTTTTACCCTTTTCCCTGCCCCGGGGTTACGTTTGTCATTTGCTGAGAGGATTTGAGGACAAAAAGGAGCGTTTTGGGGGCTGGGGTAAAGAATCGGGAGCAGGTAAGGTGCTGTGTTAAATGTTTGTTGTTTTTGTTTGCTGTGGAAAGCAGGAAATACGGCAGGAATTTGTACTGATATCCTCATCTCTGCGTTCTTGGATGGAATTGAAT